GCTATTACGTAATTTTACCGCAATTCGCTAAAATTGCATGCCGCTTTTTCAACATGTTTTACAGTATTTCTGACAGTTTGGTATGTGTAGATTCCCGATATAGGAAGCGATTAATCAGTAGATATGAAGTGTTATATAATTCGAGTGATTGGCTGTATATGAGTAAGATGGTTGGAGGCTACGCCTTTTAACGGACAGAATAACTGTATACGAGTTGTTAAAAAAACGGCTCAGTTATATTCTCTCTTCATATTTGTTATGTTGTGTGAAAACAGTATTTACGGACAAACAATACATGAATAACGTGTCCCTTTTCAGTGATGTTTTAAACAATTACAGGAGTTTTCCAAACCTCCTATAAGTTCTGGAAAACTTACCTTGGATTAGCCAATTGTACCTGCTTAATTGTTTTGGGGTGTATAGGGATGTCAAACGTATTTAAAAAACAAACAAGTTTATGGCAGCTTTAAACAATCACTGAAGGGAAGTTTAATTAATTTTCGAACGACAAACATTACACACTGAAGCAGGGAGGCCATTTCAAACAGCCATCAGAATGTGTCATTTTTCAATGATTAAATAAGTCGAACAAAGATCGACTTTATTAATCAAATATTGATGGGCAACTTCTGTCAAGGCGAAATTTTCTTAATTGAACAATGGGTACACAATTGACACCCGGTATCATTCATTAATATTTACTCCATATGTGGATCGAAATGTTTAGCAAAAAGATTACAATCCGTTTTTTCCTTATTTTAATAGCTGTCAACAAAGTGCATGAATTAAAGAAAGGCGTAAACGTGACTGTGTACGTTTTATTGAAGACATTTAGCTTACACAAAGAAAAATTCTCATAGCAATTGATTTTGAAAACTTAGAGTGGGTTTATCTTATGGAATAGTTGTGATATTGTATTTTTAGTGTAATAGTAGTTATGTATTTTGATAATGCCCACTTAGCTTTGGGTGAGGGTGGTCCAGCTGCGAAATTAGAATATACTAGTATGGTGTGTATTGTCTCTAATATTTTTTTAGTTCTTGCTTGTGTAAGACCACCCTCGACACACGGTTGGGTATGAGTTATTGTCAATATTGTTATCATTATAACATGTCCTCAACATATATCTGTAAAAACATGCTTATATGCAATGCACACGCCACATTAATACTGGCCAGCCAATGCAATGGAATATGAGAAATGGCGTTGCACACTTTTCTCGCCAATTGTTTTTGAAATGTTTTGTTTTAATTGTAAGATGGCTCATATTTTGATTTCAGTGTTCACACCAGAACAATATTTTTTCACAAAATTAACCACACCCCTCCCCTAATTTTCTAATTGTCAAGTCTTAAATAAAACAAATTACAGATTATGTGTTACTATATTGTACAATTTCAGAAATAGGCTGACAATAAATTGTTCACAACGTCTAGGTACATCAGAGTTGAAAGAATAATTACGTAACACCTGTTTTCAACTAAAATACCCTCGTACAACATTTATTGAAACGTAACATTCTAAAGATATTTACAAACTGAGGTAATTTGTCAAATATTGATGAAAGCGACGAGAATCACTACAACATTGCAGTGATCATAATGATAACATAGAAATACAAGGTATCGGAATTGAAACAAAGCCATATAATTATTCAATTCATCACCAAAATATGAAGATTAGAGTCTTGCTCTGAATACTGTGAATGACCTGCCCAGTAGTTTTGCCGAGAATCATAAAACGACCTTGTATTCAATAACCTGTCCTAGATTTGAGCTAAGAATGATACAATGTCATTATTTGGTATAAACTTGTGTAGCAATTCATTGAAAATGATTTCATCAATATAATAAATCTAATAGGTTTTAATCTAAGTGGATCTGAAATTGATATATATGTTGTTTTTACGGGTCTAAGTTGTTGTTTGAAATGTCAAACCGTTTCACAAAATTGGAATAAAAAAATTTACGAGTTCAAGAACACAAATAAAACAAATGACACACAAGAATTGACAAAATAATTCACAAGCACAAAACAATTGGCGAGTACACTATACGACACAGAGAAGGTAAATGTGACAATTCTGTATAGTTAATGCATGAAGCAATCATTACTCCATTGTACAATGTTAGGAAATATAACTGTAAGCTGACAATCAGTTATTATAACATTAGTATAACAGGCCAGCAAAAATAGAAAACAACTCACCAGTTTTTATACGAATTACCACGCACAATTCGAGCACTGTGTGAATACTTTGCTGAAATAAAAAAAATATTTCATGAAATAAAACAGAGACAGGTTCATATATTACTTCGACAAAAATCCCCTTAACCTGAAGATAAAATAAAGCAAAGCAGTCTGGGGGACTATGCAGAATAACAGCATTAAATACAATATAACTCAACACACTTTGCAATAACAGACACGGAAAAATAGCAAGACTGGAACAGATTATAACTACATTTAATATGCATTGTGAAAAAGATTATCAACAACAATCAATAAACGAATAAAATTGTTTCGAATAATGACAATACGAGAGAAATGCAAAATATCGTACCTACATTACTCACAAAACAAATAATACAAATAGAACATTATATTACACTTAATAACATACAATACACCAATGCAATAGATCATTTTCGAACAGGCTTGCATTATGAACAGGTTATTATACAAAACTCCAAAGTAGCAGATAAAATTTATTGAATTTAAATTCCACATTGATTAAAGAAATTCAATGAACAAAGTGCAGATAAATAAACCCAGACTTCCCAAACAAAGATTCAAGTTGAAACTTCAAATCTGAAAAATAATATTAACACTTGGCCACTACTTTTTTACTTTTGTTATATATAACTCAAATCGTTATGAAAGTATTTTTATTGAAGATATCAGGGGAGTTGTCTTTGATACAAGGTCAGACGATTATATTTTATATACATTATATTATGAAGGCCTGATTGCCATAGATACAGAAATGTTTGAAAAGATTCGTAAAGGATACGGACGGATTATCATGTCATTTTGGAAACAAGTGCCAATTATGTAGACGTTGGTAAAGTGTCATGATTTTGTTTTCGCGTATCTGTTGACCGACTTAATTAGTTGATTATTAGCCGAATTGCGTGTTATGTCTGTCATCGTTCAGGCCTATTTGAAGTTTTGGACGGAACTTGGCTCAGTGATTTGGAACTAATTACCAGATAACCGTCGCGATTCTGACAGTTGGTATTCCATAGTTATTAATGTAGTGAACGATTAATCAAAAGATATGACGTATTCAGTACTTAGTGTGATTGGCTTTATGATTGAAGGTTACGCCCTAGAGTCTTTTTACTGTTTTGTAATTGGTTAGAGTTGTGAAAATGAATAAAGAGAATTTGAGTTGGTCTTGGGGAGCACAGCACGATAGACGCAGTAGAGAGAGAGTGCAGTCCTGGGCAGTCGAGAGTCCAGTCCAGGGGCGAGCCTTGAGGCAGTCCAGTCTTGGGGACTATTTCCCCAGGGCGCTGTGTCTTATAGAGTGCTCGATTGACCGACTAAGACGAGAGCTGAAACGTATTTCGTTGTGTGTGTCTTATTTGACTGTAAAGTTAAAGTGACATTCCCGATCCCGTACCTCAAGGGGACGAGATAGAGAGACGAGACGAGATTCCCCCCTGACAAGTGTGGAGAACCCGAGAGAGAGAGATTTATCCCCCTGATAAAAGATCTGGATCTTATTGCCATTGGTTTCAGTGACAATTCATTGCCAGATAACGTACAAACATAAAAACTAATTTTCTCATTTTTTTTAAAAGAGGGGCTGTTCTTCAGAAAAAAACCAAGCAATTTTTGAAGGATTCTTCACCATTGGGTGGGGGTCAATGTATGATTCGTTGAGTGAATAAGTTTCAATTTAAATAAGAATAAGATTCAATTTGTATTTTTCTTTCTAAAAAGAAATTAGAAGTTTATTATGCCAATATGTTATTTTGAATACAAGCATTTGTATATACCGTTAACATCTTCATCACTTGGTAAAACATGATTTTCTGACTGACCATTACCAGATGTACATAATGAATGTCGTATGACCAGTCGAAAGGACTATCAATATCACTGACACGTAACGCCGTCATGCTTGAGGATACCAAGCTCTGTGTACTCGTTCTGCTATTGGTTTGAGATATACTATGCGCCTCCAGTGGCCATGGTCTGAATCGTGTACGGCTGTGGACTCTTTCATGTCGACGCCACTTTGCTCGTCTGTTTTGGAACCACACCTACACATTGACAGAAATATTTCAAGGCATTAACCATAAGAATGCAATAATTTGGAAAAAGATCTTGGGCAACGTTTGTATATATTTTTCAAAAATTCTGAATCAATTGAACATAATTTCCCAATGAATTAACATTCATGAATGGGTCGTGTTAACAAATACATAGCGTGCAAACACATGTGTATGTTAACATACGATATTTTACTTTTCGTTAAAAAATGTATAGTAGTGTATAAGTTTATATGGTTATTGGACACTCGCTTCCACTACAATCATATAAGTAGTCATATGTAATATTTATCAATCGTTTGTTTGGAGGAAACTTGATATGTTAGTCAATATTTAAATTCCAAGGATAGAGGGTTTCATCACCGGAAACATTGAATTTAAACGGTTTCTTTAAAATTTCTGAACGGCATTTATAATGTACGATAAATATATAATTATACCTGTATTCGGGTCTCTGGTAGATTGGTTTTTGTCGCCAGTTCCTCTCTGATAAACACATCTGGATAGTGCGTCATCTCAAATGTTTTCTCTAGTTCTTTCAACTGCATGTTGTCAAAGGTAGTACGATGACGACGTTGGGTGACCATCGAATCATTGTTACCGTAACACGACTCTTCCTTATTGTATTCTACAGACACAATTGAGAAAACACATAATGATCGCTTATTAATTGTATATATGACAATATCAACGCCAGATTTCGTTGAAAAAGTCTACCTACCTGATGACTGCGTTTCGTTATCACTTATGCTAGGTACGCTCATATTTCCTCACGATTGTAATATAGTGAAATGAACAGTATATATTCCACTTTGCGACAGTAGGAGCACAGATCTGATGTGATTGGGCCTCCTCATATCCTACCTATACCACGCCCACTATCACTATCATTGTCAGATTGGATGGGAGGAAATAGTGCGTGAATTCGTTTAAGTCACCACTCCCTTACAGTTACTAATACGAATTTATTTTCCACAAATTCGAACATATACTAAACCATGATTGGCTGATTACTAAAATGAAATAAATATTGCTCACATCAAAATCACAAAAGTTAAAAATACAGAATACATAGGTTTCCATAGAACTTGAAATACAGGTATATATTTATTTCTAAGGTCAATGGGTTTTACTACATTTAAAGTTTAACCCTTATCCTGGCTTTATATTAGATATAGATATGCCAATTAATAATAATTAGTGTTGTTTTCGCACCTTCAACACAGCTATAGCTTTCCATTAACACTGACAAATAGTTGCTGAAATTACATTTTTCTTGGAGACCTTTTCAAAGCGACGACAATTTTTGAATTGCCTTCACTTTAGCAAAACTATTCCACATTGGAAACGTTCGATATCAATCTTTCTGTCTTGTTTTACTGAATCTAGAAATCTCCTCCGCGCATGTGACGTGGACTCTAAAATCAAGTGTGCATGGATGGTGTGTAAGTTGACTTCACAATGGAACGCTGGGAGACAACTCACTAGCATAACATACACCAAAGATTCAAGGCAACTTGTACAAATAAGTGTACAATAGCTAAACCGAAGACGACATTAATA